GTTACAGAGAGTAGTACAACCAAAATGAGAGCAACACAAACGAAAATTTTGCGTGTGCAGAGTACGAATAAACAGAATTCGGTACAACAACCACTAGTGCAACTGGTCATAATGATGAATATCTATGTTAAACGAATGGTGTGCTCTTCATAAAAGTGAAGTCATTACAGATGAACGGAGAATTGGAAAATCTTACTCCGCTAACGTGGTGCAGGGCAGCCTACTAGTGGCACTCCTTTGGATATCCTCGTTTCATTTTTGTTCTTCTCCATCTGGGTACAGTGATTTATGGAAAGAATGTAAATGCTAACATAATATGATAGACAACTTACAAAATAAATGTCATACGCAGTGCATATCTTTATATTTATTGAGCAGTAAATATCACTGAATGTTAAGGCGACAAGTTCAAACGTAAAACTGGTATATTTTTGTTCTGTAAATAGATCTAGCTACCATTTCAAAGGAAGCCAATCCTAAGAGGAAGCTGATGCAGTAGCCTGGGTTTAATAGTAATGAACCGGCCAAAAAGATTCAGATTATGAAATTATACCAAAGGGGTTATTCAAGTTGTCCCTTTATGTAAGCATTATGTTTGAAAAGATTGAAAGTTGAGTGGTTTGTTTTAATGATAACCCTCGCTGCACTGTGCTACTGAACAAGACTTGAATAAAGTCCTATTGGAACTACGTTACAAATCTTTGATACATATGCAAAGGGTATAAAGCAGCTTGTAATAAAGAAACCAAGCTAAATAACTGGAGACTTCGGATAGTTATCACTTGAAAAGTTTATGTGGCGGATTTTCTTCTAATTAGTTACTTGCTGAAGTCTAAAACGAATGTCAGGATATTGCTCTAAATACCATAAGTTCAAGCTTTTGGTTTGAACACAAAGCCACTGAACTTAAGTGTACTGAATCGTACCTAGTTCCGTTCTTCTATCTAGTGTACAGGTGCGCTTTTCGGTGAATAGTATTAAATTGTATCAAAAAACAAATTCTGTGCTCAACGTAAACCGTTCTAGTTTATCGCACCAAGTCGCTGGCCTCGTGATATCGAAATAATATCAAGACCACCGAGGAGAGGAGCGGAATGGGAAAGACGAGCTCGGCGCGCGAGAGATAGTCTTTAGTACAGTTGAACAGAAGGAGTACAGTATAACAATTATTGTCAGAATTAAGTACAGTAATAAATGTTTCCATTTCAGCAATTGTGTTCTCTTCGTAAAAGTACATCACTACAAGGTCATCATTAGTTTTGGTGGTACAGAAGTATTTACTTTTAGAGATTTATTTACCGCTCCATATCTCTTGTTCTTTACCAGTTAGGCTACACGAGTCTCAGAGGCAACCCTATGAGGTCCTACAGCATCCTGAAAACCCTAAGAATCCCCCTAAATTAATCACTTAAGCTCAGAGTATGACCGTAAATTAGAGCCATAACACAATATAATGGACTGTAGGCACACCTAGTTCTCATGAGTATTATAACTCCGCAATTCGATGCTAGCTGGGGTGGTCCAGGCGATTCCGTACGAATACTTTGTAGCGATTGGAGTCGAGATTGACTATGATCACCGCTACGAACCCATTACGTGCTCGTCACAGAGAAGATAAGATAGTCCATACGATCAAACAAATTCGCTAGCGATTTCGTGGTATCGAAAGAATACGAAAATCGTGCTAGGAAAGATGGGCGATATTACAGAGACAGCGGAGCCAAAAAAAATAGGTTCACTAAAACAATCACTGGTACATTTGGTTATAATAATGAACGTTTCTATTAGACCAATGGCGTTCTCTTCATAAAAGTGGATTCACTACAACTTCAACAGGAATCTTGACATATTCTTGAAAACTTCCCACAGTATTTCGTTATTATTCACTAACATTTCTTTTTAGCTAGTGGAATTTACCTAGGTTACTACCCGTATGAATCAGTGATTCACCATTACTAGATACATTAGCCCGTTAAGCAAAAGCTTCTGTTGCATTCACAATCGTTTGAACTATTTGATATGTTTCAACTCATCACTACCAATTACTTCCCGTTTACACAGTTGGTGAACTCAAACTTATTTTAAACAGCATAAGTAATCAACTGCTATTAGTTAGTCAAGCTAACATTCGGAAGTCTTTTTCTTCTTTATTCCTAGGTATTTGGATTTCATTTGAAATCGTCAAGGACGTTTGTTTGTAACTGTGTGAATTATGGAGGGAGTTTGTTTTTTCTGCCAACCCTGATAGACTAACTTATTTGGTTATTTGTACCTAGAATTAACTTTGTGTAAGTTTCGCCTCAGTTTAAACATGTATTTTGAATTTAACGAACATTTTTCACGTGAATTTACAACTTCTACACACTATGACCTATTCCAAAAGTAGTAAACATAAAGTATGCTCTACTGACGACCTTGAACTGCTTTTTTAATTATTGAGAACCAGTGTTTATTCGTGTGACAATTAGTACGATAACAAAGTTTGATACGGATTCACTGTCAGACGTAATTGGTGAATTATCTACCGTAGTAAGCCGAAAAATCGTGTTATGGTAGTGAGAATTTGCATCATAATTTTTATGACGATTACTCACACAAATAACTCTCTAAAAGCTTAGTTTTACCCGGAGATCTATAGATAACAGTAATCGGATACTATTTTTTACGTAGCTGTATGTCTGCTACAAGTTGTCATCGCGTTTTGGTCGTCCTACAAAGAACCCCAGAGCTGATAATATGAATCCGAATAATTCGATGATACAGCTTACTTTTGTAAATCATTCTAAATCCATGTAAATCATGTAATGGCAGGAATAGAGATGAAATTCGATTTCCTTGTAGTTCTTCGAGGTTTTTCGACAATATGCAACACTGAATCCCGTGTACTAAGCCTCGGTATTCTCACTGGCGTAGAAACAACCTCGTTTTAAAGATTTCAAATATTTTTAGCATAGATCCCGGATAAGATAAGTTGTAATGGTTCAAAAGACACCCAAACCAAAACATGTCCATGGATTCATGATGCCAAAATAGTCTTTAGAAATCTTAGGTGTTCACTAAATCAAAATGCGGTTATGCCATGTGAAAAGAAGCTACTATTAAGAATTAAAATATTTGTCAAAAGCAGGTCAACCATAGTGCTAAAAAGTCTATTCAGATGTAAGTGAGTTTTCTGCGAGAATCAAAGAGCCCGTCTACATCTGGCTGCTTTGTCCATAAGCTTGTACATTATTTTCACAATGCGGTCTAGATATGCGGAACATAAATATTCGACTCCTACGTCATGATAGTAAGAATACATCCTAACCTGCAGTGAAGCTGCAATGAGATTATATAGTTCCGTTCTTTTCATCAGAACTGATAGAGAACCTATTTTCCAGAGCTTTAACCCAAGTTAATGTCTATGTTTAAGTATGTCCTCACTGTTTGTGTTTTAAAATAAGAGTTAATGTCGTGTTTAAACTTCCACACACGAGCTTATCGAAATATTTAAAGGCTGTATAAAAAGATGATTCGAAAGCTTTAACAGTGTCTGTCGAACCAGAAGTTTCATTATCTGACTGACTCCCATGTTCCATGATTTAATAAGAGAAAGCTCCACCAATCCATCAGGACATTTCGGAATATAGATTGTTAAAATAACCTTTAGTTCTGTTTGGTGAAGACGCTGACAAAATACAGTCTTCTAACCACCTTAAACAACAAAGATAGCGTGTACTGGATGCGGTTCTCCCCCTCAAAATTTAGCGTTACTTCAGGATTGGTGATAATGGCTACTAAAAATAGAGAATATTGGTTGGTTACTAGTATTCGATCATAGGTGTCTTCTGTGCATTGCTCGTATATCCTGGGACCGCCGAGTAAGTAATACTGGTGTTAGGAAACGGATACTAAGGATGTCAGATCAATGGGTGATGTACTGAATATTGATCGGTTGTGGTTTGGGCATGTGTTACATATACCCAACCACCTACTATTTCGGTAAGCGATGTCTTGTGATGTAGGAATAGGCTGTAAGTAAGTGGGGGCGGCCTAACTGAAACATGGCACAATTCCATAAAGTCACTGACAAGTGGACTGAGCCATGTAGTGCAGTCTGCTTGGTTGGGCTGGTCGAGACAGTGGTTACTGGTAGTTAGAGACTTTAAATGACATGTCTCAAAATCATTTCAGCGGCTCAAGTGCATCCATTCTTTGTTCTCTTTCAAATTCTAATCTTCTGAATTCCTCATGGCCTTGTTTTTCTCTTTTTAATTTATTTCTCTGGGATATACTTCTCCGTTCTCGTTGTAGCTGATTGAATGACACTCAATTTATTTTATCCTAAATCTCGATCTTGTTACTCTACACTTATTTGTTCCCCAACCACGCTTAATAAAATGAACGTGAGAATAATTTGCATCTGCAAAGACACATAAAGTCACCACAACTTGATTGTAGTTTCTAAGTTGAACTGGATAAGGTTTGATACTTATTAATATAGGCAAGCATACCCGTAAATCAGTTTCCTTAGCCAAAATGGTTTCAGATATAGCAGTTGGACAGAATGCCTCGAAAGCAGATTCACATAGTTATTGCTTATAAGTCAGTGTAAGAAATGTGTATCATACTTTATCGATTCAAGATTTTCCAACTCCCTTAAATGGATTTTCCGTAAACTCGGTTTTAGCGCCGGACATATCCTCTTCTCAATTTCGTATGCAGCATTGCCTTGAGGTAGTGAGTAAGACTTCCCAAACTGGCTACACAGATGTGGATGCATGACACAAGTTCGAAATGGAGAGTAGACTCCCCACTCGACCGTAGTGGGGCATTTGGTGGCTGTTTATAATTGTTGTTGACATGGCTGTATCATCTTGGTATATCAAGTAACACGATTTGTCAAAAAAGTGATTGCAGTCGAGATTTTGACTATTTATCCTCGAAAAACATTTGTTTCGTACTTAATAGTAAAAATCTCGTTTTTTCTATTGTTTTTTTATCCGTTTAGTTGCACAGAAATGACGCTCCGAGCTGGTGCGTCTAATATTTCTGTCCGAGCATGGCGCCGCTACTTCACTCTATCGTCTATTGATTCAGTCATTGAATTAATGCGAGAAGTGTTTATTAGTTGTGGAGTAGTCTTTTCCGATGAACAGACTGGCATGAAATATTTGAAAAATACTACTATCAATAACTCTGAGATATCTGATATTGGGATTGATCCCTCTGTTAAAGAACCTAACTTGGCTTTTATATCGATTGTATTAGGTTACATAGAAAATCATCTTACTTCTAGCACATCAGAAGACTTTGATTCCATAAAGCTAAAAAATCCTCATCATCGCAAACTTGTATCCAGAAGAAAAGAAACCTTACCTCATAATTCTCCTCGTTCACGTTCATCTTCTTTTACAAAATCACAATCACCTTTATATGTTCATCTTGAAACATCAGAAGAACAACAATCTGAAGGCCGTAGTGATCATTTGGAATTAAACAACAAGTTAAATCCATTTCCTAGATCATTATCATCAAATGTATTTGGACAAGAAACTACTAACCAATCTCCTGTATGTCGTCGTCGTACTAGACGATTTGGTTCAAGTCGTCGTGTTCGTCAACGAAACGAATCAGAATTATCTATTTCTACACCAATTACAATTGAATCTCCACTCAGTACTACTACTACTACTGCTAAAAATGAACCATTACAAATATTAACAGATATACCAGTTCGAAAAAGACGTCGATTTTCCGATAGTACTATACCAAATTCAGCTTTTCCATGTTTAACATTTGATGAACTTGAACGTTTGTATTTAGATTTCTACAATCTCATTGCTAATTCACCTAAAGTGAGTTTGAATGAATTATTTAATTGGTTCTTTTTATTGCATTTGATTCAATCATTTAAAATAAGTATGTTGTATTTCAATCGTCTTGATACTAGTCAAAATTCATGCAATCAATTTCATTTTGTTTATACAGAATTTTCAACATGTAACGTAAATTTGTTTATTGACATGTTTACTGGTTTGTCTAATATTGATAGTTATAGTACGTTGCTTGTAAATGTCCATTTACAGGTGTTTAGTTTGTACTTAGTTTCACACCCAGTTTACAATTCACTATTTGGTAGTAGTAGTAGTAGTACCCCTAACGGCACACAACATCAACTTGCTCACAATCAAACTGTTTCTCGAACTCTTCATAACTCTCTTGTCTTCACGACTAACTCTGGACCGGTCAACTGACAGTTTCATCGCGGAACTGATCTACATACGTATGAAGTCCCACATTATAGCTGACTGACTAATTTGATAGTTATAAACTGCGATTAATCAACTTTATAATCATTATTTGATTTTTATATTTTTTTGAAACCATGAATCGATCAATGTTAGACCACCATTAGAGGAACCCTAGAAGCACTGGACGGCCGTTTTGTCCTGGTATGGGACTCATCAGCAGCGCGCATCCACGACTCCTGCACCCCGCAGGATTCGAACCCAGGACCTTCGGTATTGTGCGCGAACACCCTAACCGATAGACCACTGAGCCGGTATCTAGCGGTGTTAATGTCTAACTTGATCATTACACTTTATTTATCATCAAGAGCCTGATTAGTGATGTGTACGTACATTCATTCATTGGTGTAGGTTTATAGTGGTGCAGTAGCCCCAAGCACTTGTATTTTAACTAATAAACTCCAAGTTCAAACAGACTGGTGTTGTTGAGTTTAATCAAGCATTACTTAGGTGCTTTAGTACATTAACTAGTTCTTGTCACTGATGATTAAAATGTGATATGTAGAAGGTGTTTATTCGAAATGAATATGATCAAATTATGTTTATCATATAAATTTTTCAATGCACATCCACTGTTGTTTACTTCTATTGGTGGTTAAAAGCTACATGTAGTTTTAGTCAAGTCAATTGAGGAGATTGTAAATATTCAATGATCCACAGTGATTTGACTGTTATGTTACATGTAACGGCGTTGATATAATTAAAGTGAATTATATAGAATTTAATTGACTAAACAAGAACACAAAATCAATCTGTATATAACATCATTCACTTTTGTGTAAATAAAATGAGATTATCATGTAAAAATAGAGTAAGAGCAACAAACGTAGCAGAATAAGATGAATTTATTTTATTTTGCAGTTTCTCATCAAATGCATACAACCTAAACATAATAGCATTTATTATTATTATTATTATTATTATTATTATTATTATTATTATTATTATCATCGTGATTACAGTCCCCAAGATGTTAGAGATCGCTTATTGGATATTTCAGCTAGAATATCTGAATGTCTATTTTGACGACACCGTTTATATTGATTGCTGCCTTAATGTACACCTTATAATTGGTTTTATCCCAGTTCACGTTGGAAATAAGAATTGTTTTGGTCTATAATAATGGACACTTAGGGATTGTTAATTACATAGATGCAATATTTATCTGTAAATGAACTCAATGATCCACTGTAACATAATGATGACTGATCATGAAACTAAGATTATTCATACAAACCTCTAAATGAACCGATATCTGAGGTAAAACAACTATATCAGGAGAACAGGTGTTTTTACGTGGTTAAATAACATGCTTGTATGCAAATTACCTACCAAAAGAAAAAAATAAACCTGATTATTTCTTCAGTTGAAAGTTATGAAGATCAGTGTTTTTACGCATTGACAGCATCAGTCGATCGTTGTTAGACCACTATTAGAAACCTGGAAGCAATGCACGGCCGTTTCATCCTGGTATGGGACTCATCAATGGCATTAAGCATCACACCGTTGAAATTCCGGCCCAGTGGTTCAGAGATTAGGTGTTTGCACGCAAAACCGAAGGTCCTGCGAGTAGCAGGAGTTGTGGATGCGCACTGCTACTGATGAGTCTGCCATACCAGAATGAAAAGGCTTTCTTCTGCAGTGCTTGCAGGTTTCCAGTGTTGGTCTGGGAATGATTAATTAATGATTTCAGTGTGTAAACATGATTATTTAGTATGTAAACAGTTAAAAGATATATCAGTCTTTACAGATCACTAACTATTCCATTAACATTAAAATCAAACTGCCTAATTCTTCTCCGTGCTCTGAATATATATTTATAAATTATATGTTAGTTTTAAAATGTTTCATAGGTTTTTTTATTTTCCCTGTGAAACTGCCTGCCTGTCTGTAAGTAAAAGTTACAATTCCAAAGTGTTATTCTATTTCTTGTCCGAGGGTACTAAGGGCATTCAACTTGTTTTTTTTTCTGTTTGCCGAATAACCAACTAACAAGCCTGTTACGCTCGCCTCCAGGTATGCTTAAACTATTACGAGTTCACCTTAGTTGGATAACGAGAACAAAACAATAAACCAGCGTCCAGGTAGGCTACTGTGATCCTTTGACCAAATTGAATCAGTAAGAAGTCTTCGTATAGTGTAAAAATTGTATTCTACAAACACCCAGCCAGCACACAATGCATTCAAGCACACAAATCGCGTTTATTTATACTCTATAGAAACGTCCTTGGGACGATCACAAAAATAGCACACTAAAATGACACAGTAGCCAATCACAGCTAAGGATTTTCCTGGTGGGAAATGTGATCTCAAGGTCAACTGATCGGTCCATGAAATAAATGCAAAATAAAGATTATTTATCAAGCGAGTTCTGTGGATCTAACATCCCCCAACAAAGCCAAAAGGGAACTAAAATATAACCGTTTTTATGTATTGAAAAGCTAAAAGTAAGTAACAGCTAATATTAATCATCAACAAAAAATGTATGGATATTTTCTTTCTTAATAATCTCTCCCTAAATTTTTTTTTTCTTTCTATAGTTGAAACCTTTTCTCATAACAGATACACTGAATGGTACCAATGGAACAGAATCGAAATATCAAAAATCCCATACTACTACTACGTCAACCAGTAGAACAACATCAACAAAAAAATATGCATGTCGTACACTTATTTGTGTTATATGTGAAGTTTTATGGAGTCAAATGACAGCGAGTCGTTTTAAAGAACGTTTAACGCATACACAAAGTGTATATTCTTTTTTAACAAGTTAGTGAATAGTTTATAGTATTTTTTTTGAGACTTATAATAAAATAAAACTTAGTTTCTAATACCTTGTGTAATTTTCACTTGGTTATTCGATAATTACTATTTCCTAACGATAATTAAAGATGCTGAATGATATGACTCAAAATCGTGTGCAATGACGTAAGTGCACCTATTGTTTGTGTTCTTTGAAATTCTAATCTTCTTAATTCTTCATCACCACCTCTGTGAAGCTATCCTTCATGTCACAATCTTACAGTTTAATCCATCATAAGAATTCCGTATGATGTTTGTTGACTATCTTCTCAGGCAAACCATATTGTGTCATGATTATTATAGTTCAGTCAGTCAGATGCAACGGAGAACTTCGTACGTAAGTACATCAGTTCATGTCACCATACCACATTAGCACAGAGAGATGGAATTGTCAATCCAAATCCAATAATAGTAGAGGTAGTTTAGGTATCACAAGTAATCGGAGAGGTTAGGATTAAAAGATATTATTCAAGAAGTATGATTCAGTGAGAAAAGTTTAGAAAGACAAAACTAGAGGGGTTGAAGAACCCAGAAGAGTAGGATTTGACAAAACACAAAGAATAAATGCACCGGGGCCATTGCAAATGGTTTTGAGCCATGTCATTCAAGGTCTCTAACCATCGAATATTACCATCTCGCGGACCCCAACCAGGTAGTCGACAATTACCGACATGGCTAAGTCCACTCGTCAATGACTTCATGGATTTCTACCATGTTTTGGTTTGGCCGCCCCTAACTTTCTTCCAACCTACTCCTACACTACAAAACAAAGCTTGACGAGGCAGTCGGTGGTTAGGCATACGCAACACATGTCCTAACCACCTCAACTGATGAAGTCTCATTACTTCATCTATTGACCTATCATCCTTACCTATCACCCGTTTCCTAACAACAGCATTGCTTACTCGGTTGTCCCACGATAATACGAGCAATGCTTCGAAGACACCTATGATCGAAAACCAATAACCTACGAATATCTTCTACTCTCACTGGCCATGTTTCACAGTCATAAAGTAAGACGGAGCGAACTACTACTGCACAGTACACTCGTCCTTTAGTCGTCAGCAAACGGATATCTCGCCTACACCGTAAGTGACGCAGCTTGGCAAAAGCCAACCGAGCCTTCTGATTATTATACTTACAACAATATTATATAATGTATCACAATGTAGTTTAAATCGGTTCACTCAATTATAAAAAGTAAATATAAATTTTTGTAAACACCTTAGCAATCACTTCGAGTTTGCACTAAATTATTTATGACTAACTCGAAGTGATTCGACCAGATTGGTCTCTCATACCCGTAACAGCACGAGAGACCAATCTGGTCGAATCACTTCGAGTTAGTCATAAATAATGTAGTACAAATTTTCGAATGGATCAAATTGCGTCGTACTTCTTAACATTAATACTGCAATAGGAAACTAAGAGGATACATATTCAAAGTGTGGTGGATGCTACTCACACAGATTGCTATACAAAAGTAGCATGCATTGTAGTGTCTCCTAGAAGTTGTTACCAGAACATAGTGTCTGAATGAAGACTGAAATGTAAAGCACAATCAGCGTAAATTGATTGTGCAAAACATGCTTGTATTGTAAATCGATGGTTTTTTGAAGATTAAATGTACCTATTTTCTCTCTAAATTCAAATATTCCATCTGATCTTGGTGGCTTCTTTGTTTATTGCAAACGAAGTTGAAATGTTACTATTCAGTGTAGTGAAAATTGAACTAAAATTAGGAATAGTCGAATTCAATAGTTCAATTTGTGATCAGTCTTAGTTGTGATATGTGGTGCATCCTGTTCGGATTGCCTCGATATATGGTGATTATATCACAAGTTTATCTAAAATGAACAGTTTCATAACAGTGAAATCTATGATATGTGTTTGTTTGCACAAGTAAAGGGTTATCTGGACTCAGTAGCTCGAATCATATCTTCGAACCCTAATCTTCTCCATTACCTCTACTACTATGGGATTTGAACTGACAATTTGATCTCTCTGTGATAATGTGGTATGGCAAGTTGAACTGATGTCGTACGTACCAACTTTTACATTGTAGCTGACTGACTGAATAGTTAAGTCCGTAATCCGCTGGCTTCCGGAGTGAATGGCATTAGGTTCAAATCACATGGTGAATAAAAACTTTTGGACTCAAATACATTCAACTGACGAGTCCCAGATAGAGCGAAACGCGCGTTATGATCTCCATCACAAGATACATTCTGTCGATTCTACATAGAATTAAGAAACTGAAAGTTTAAATTACCATGAAAACTCAAGAATCTGCGGCTAATAGATACATCTACGCTACTACGATTAATTTTGAGCCTTGAATACAACAAAATAACGTTTGTACTATCAAGGTCAATCCTATTCTATATCATGTATCGTATTTTCAGTTAGCAGCATTTAGTTTCCCATCAAAGTTAACGTTTCATGATACCCACTGCCCATTACATGAATTTTCTAATTGGAAGCAAGAGATTGCAATAAGTTTTCGTACTGATCATTCATCATTTATTGAAACCACTTTTTTTCTCTACTTTCTGTTTCGTTATTTTAATAGCGGGCATTCTGGATAGTTTTGGATTAGCGTATACAGTTGTAGCGGCCTGTCAACTCCTCGGTTATTCTGATGTAGACCTAGCATTATCTGAAGATCATGGTTGGGTGGAATTTGGTCCTCCAGAATCCCGTCAAACAGCTGATGTAGCTAGTTGGGTACAAGAGCCGCATACCTCAACTAGTTCACATAATTCAGAATTGTCAAGTTCCCATGATGACTTAGTTCAACCAACGGAACACTCTAGGATTAGAAAAACATCATCATCTACGGAAGATGAGCATAATCCACCTTCGATTCGTATACCACCATTGGAGCATTCTTGGCTTTATGTAAGTGGATATCCAGTAGTTTGTCGTCCACGTATAATGGCTGTAGCTGCTGCAATTGCTGCAATACAACCAGGAGCTTCATTATCTGCTGTCACTCAAGCTCCAACTTCGGAACCTTTTGCTTATGGTACACTTTCACCGAATCCTTCAGTATCCTCTAGTGGTGGTGGTGGTGGTGACCTTATTACACCTACTGGCCTAGTTAAGCATTTATCATCAGCATCAGTGATCTCAATGCAAGTAAGTATAACAACAGTTTGAATCCCCTATATATATATATACTTTAATCTAATGTTATTCTTTTCAATAGAAGAAAATAAACAATAGGTGAGTACTATTTGACAAGTAAATAAACACAACTCATGTTGCAACTTTAACAAAACTAGGTACTCAATGCAAAGGGATATAAAAGGCTCGACTAACTAGCCGACTTGCGTCATTTATGGCGTAGGCAAGATATCCGTCTACTAACCAAAGGATGAGTGTACTTCACAGCAGTTCGCTCTGTCCTACTATATGGCTGTGAAACATGACCAGTAAGAGTAGAGGATATTTGTAAGTTACTGGTTTTCCATCATAAGTGTCTCCGATGTATTGCTCGTATATCCTGGGTTAGGAACCGGTTACTGGGTAAGGATGGCAGATCAATAGATGAAGTTGTGAATCTTGATCATTTGAAGTGGTTCGGACACGTGTTACGTATGTCCAACTACTGACCGACTGCCTTGTCGACCTATGTTTTCTGATGTAGGAGTAAGTTGGAAGATGGCTAAGGATGTCCAAATCCATGAAGTCATTGACAACTGGACTGAGCCATGTTGGTAAGTGTCGACTACCAGGTTGGGTCGGTAAAGGCGATCGTAACCGGTGGTTAAAAACTTTGAATGACATATCTCAAAATCGTCTGCAATGGCGTAAGTGGATCCATTCTTTGTGTACTCTCAAATTCTAACCTTCTAAATTCCTGATAACCCATTTTCTTATTTAAATTTATTTCTCTGGGGCATACTTCACTTCACTTGAAACGCGGAGCTAACACTTGAAAAATTTTTCATGAAAAGGCCGTGCGCGACTGACTTAAAGCAGTGGTTTATTGGGCCGTGGTCACGCTCCCAGGTCTTTGAGACCAATCCTAACCCGATTCCTGTTCTAGGTTTCACAAGAAGAGTACCCTTCCATGGTGTGGGCAGCCGGGAAGTGACATCCGCCCTCATACACCCGTAACAGCACACGAGGCCAAGTTGGTCACAACCAAATCCTTGCTACACCTCTCCCATGAAATCATTGACAACTGCAGTGAGCCATGTTGGTAAGTGGAGACTACGTGGTTGGGGTGATCGAGGCAATGGTAACCAGTGGTTAGAAACCTGGCTCGAAATCATTTGCAATGGCGCAGGTGCACTGATCCTTTGTGTTCTCTCAAATTTTAATCTTTTGAATTAATTGTCACTCTCATTTCTCTCTTCTTAAATTTATCTCACTGAATTATACTTCTTGAATAATATCAGTCAGTCAGATGCAACGTAGAACTTCGTACGTAAGTACATCAGTTCATGTCGCCATACCACATCAGCACAGAGATGTAATTGTCAATTCAAATCCAATAGTAGACGAGTTAGTAAGGGTATTAGAAGTAATCGGAGAGGTTAGGATTAGAAGATATTATTCAAGAAGTATGATTCAGTGAGAAAAGTTTAGAAAGTCAAAACTAGAGGGGTTGAAGAACCCAGAAGATTAGGATTTTAGCGAACACAGAGAATAAATGCACCTGCGCCATTGCGAACGGTTTTGAGCCATGTCATTCAAGGTCTCTAACCATCGAATATTATCATCTCGCGGACCCCAACCAGGTAGTCGACAATTACCGACATGGCTAAGTCCACTTGTCAATAACTTCATGGATTTGTGCCATGTTTTGGTTTGGCCGCTCCTAACTTACTTCCAACCTATTCCTATATTACAAAACAAAGCTCTTCGAGGCAGTCGGTGGTTAGACATACGCAACACATGTCCCAACCACCTCAATTGATGAAGTTTCACTTCTTCATCTACTGATTTGCCATTCTTACCTAGCACCCGATTCCGAATAACAGCGTTGCTCACTCGGTCGTCCCACGATATATGAGCAATGCTTTGAAGACACCTATGATCGAAAACCAATAACCGACGAGTATCTTCTACTCTCACTGGCCATGTTTCACAGTCATAAAGTAAGTCGGAGCGAACTACTACTGCGCAGTAGACTCGTCCTTTAGTCAGCAAACGGATATCTACAAACCGTAATCTTCTCTATTACCGCTAATATTTCTACTTCCCCCCTACTCCTATGAAATTTGAACTGACAATTGCATTTGTCTGTCTGTGTTTGTGTATGTTAATATGTTGTACAGCAATTCGGAATTGTTTTACCTACGTACAAAGTAGTTCTACTACAATTGTGGTGGAGCTGATTGATTCAATTTTAAACAAAATAATTATTCTATGCATAATAATATTGTTTGTTTAAATTGTTTTGAGCTTTCAATTAATTTTTTTTTTTGAAAAGCTCTTCAATTGCATTGCATTGCATTGCATATTGTTTGTTTTTTTTCTTTTCTTCCTTTTCAATTTAGCTAGTCACATTAAAGCATCAATTATTATGGTTATGCTTTGATGCTGGTTGTCTTGCACGTTATCCTTTAGGTTTAACTAATTTAGGCGATTTAGAAGATGCATTTCCTACAATGGGACGTTTGGCCACATTTTTAAATTCATTACATTCTACACCGAAATTAAATCGACAACTTTCCAATGAATTCAATACTTTGCTGATAAATCATCATCATCATCATCATTCCAATCATTCCAATCATTCATTGTTTGGATCACCTTCTTCTACTCCTACTAACACTAATACTACTAGTAGTACTACGACTACGACTACTACTACTAATGCTGCTTCCAATCTCAATTCACATATTATACAACAATCGGATTGGCCATATTCACAATTGCCTGAAACAGTCTCGCTAGCTTTAGCTCTTTATAATCGTGCTATTCTAGTCAATCAATATTATTATTCAAATTATCATGTTTATCCGTACACATGCTTAGCTGGATGCTTATATAGGCATGGTGATAATCGAGGTGCATTACGTCATTGGGCAGAAGCTTCTAAAGTTATTGGACAGTAAGTTTTTTGATTGGTTGTTTTTAGGCTTTTCCCTACTTGTGTTTTCTTTTGTTTCATTCTATTAAAATTTCCATAATTTATCAACCTGTATGTACATTTTTCACTTACCTGTGGGACAGCGCTGACCAAGTCAGTTACAACGTAGAACTTTGTATGTATATACATCAGTTCAGTTTGGCATATCACATTAGCACAGAGACACGCAGTTGTCAATTCAAATTCCATAGTAGTAGGTAGGGTTAGTAGAAGTATTATTGGCAATGGAGAAGACTAGGGTTCGGAGAAATGATTTAAGAAATATAATTCAGTGAGATAAATTTAAAAAGAGAAAAAATAACAGTAATAAGAAGATTAAAATTTGAGCGAATACAAAGGATCAGTGCACCTGCGCCATTGCAAATGATTTTGAGCCATGTCGTTCAAGGTGTCTAACCACTGATTACCATTGCCTCGACCACCCCAACCAGGTAGTCTACACCTACCAACATGGCTCATTGCAGTTGTCAATGATTTCATGGGAGAGGTGTAGGAAGGATTTGGTTGTGACCAACTTGGTCTCGTGTGCTGTTACGGGTGTATGAGGGCGGATGTCACTTCCCGGCTGCCCACACCATGGAAGGGTACTCTTCTTGCGAAACCTGAAAGAGGAATCGGGTTAGCATTAGTCTGAAAGACCTGGGAGCGTGACCACGGCCCAACAGACAACTGCTTGAAGCCAGTCGGGCACGGCCTTTTTATGAAAAGTTTTTCAAGTGGCCTTATCACCGATGACGGGGATCCTTAAGGTTAGGTAAGGTGTAACATTTCTACGGTTGATCCTTTCTAACCCCTTCCTTCCTTGTGAGAAGACAGCATCGCTAAAGACGCTGTTTGTCCAAGGAAAACACTTTACTGCTGTCACACCTCTGTACAGTCAGCAGTACAACTTGACCCTCAGATCTTGAGTAGCTGCTTTTAGTCTTACCGTTCTGCTCTCAATCTGTCTTGCAGAGTAGAACGTAAAAAAAACATGTTCTAGCCAATATAACTCTGTCGGATCATCACGATAGGCAAGCCTGACCACCACGTCAAGTTAGCAGCTACGGTCATGTTAAATTTATCACAAAAAGCCTGTTTTTCATTAGCCCCCAAAACTGTTCTTTAGACTTCAGTCAATACCATCCTGAACTCAGTTATCCTTTCAGATACCGCGATAAACAATGTCCTTCCACATTGTGGACAACTGAGAAGTGACATCCACTCTTTTTTATACTCGTTACAAAACTCTTGATCAACCCTATAAAATATATAGAAGAGTTTATGAATTAATGATCATCTTTTTGGAATATTTTTAACTTGGTATTATCTCTTAATGTAATGATGATATTTTATATTAACTAAACAATTAAGTAGGATTTATGCAACCACTATTATTCACAAGAGATTTCCATTTTTTTTTCATAGTTATAATCATACGTCGGAAGATTGGGAAATTTATCGTGAACTATTGGAAATTGCCACTCATTTAATGCCACAAATGTTTCGATCAGCTAGTGAAAATTCACATTTTTGTTCTGAAGGCTTAGTTGATACTGATCCTGATGGATGCCTGTATCAACCAGATAATATTTTAGGTAAGCAGTTATTTTTACATAATTATGAGTTGATTGCTCTATAACATTGTCAATAAAGTTTTTTTTTTGGCGAATCAACCAGTGTTTATGACATGATCAATGTCCAGGTTTTTGATCGAATAAAACATACTTATGGTATATTTGGTATTTGGCTAGCACTCGAATCCGGTATGTGTGCATCATCTGAGATTTCATCGGGACTGAGGAAATTTCCAAGATAAGCGAAACAGTCGATGCATTCAACTACCTCCTCACTTCGTATCAATAATTCAAGCTCTGATAAAAATCAGTTCTGAAGTAATATTTTGTATTATTATTATCATCTCGCGGACCCCAACCAGGTAGTTGACACCAACATGACTCAATCCAGTTGTCAGTGACCTCATAGATTTCTGCCATGTTTTGGTTTGGCCACCCCTAGCTTTCTTCCAACCTACTCCTACACCACGAAATATAGCTTGTCAAGGCAGTCAGTGAGTAGGCATACGCAACACATGCCCCACCCACCTCAACTGATGAAGTTTCAATACTTCATCTATTGATCTAACATCCTTACCTTGTACTCGTTTCCTAATGGCAGCCATTGCTTACTCGGTTGTCCCACGGTATACGAGCAATGCTTCGCTGACATCTGTTATCGAATACTAGTAACCTACAAACATCTATTCTTACTGGCTATGTTTCACAGCCATATAGGAGGACGGAGCAAACTGCTGCCCAGTACACCCGTCCTTTGGTTAGCGGACGGATATCACGCCTATGCCATAAGTGACGCAGGTTGGCAAAAGCCAGTCGAGCCTTCTGTATCCATCCTGAGATTTCATCACACACCAAGCCGTCAGCACTGATGAGACTCCCATGATAACTGAAGCAGTCAACACTCTCTCAACAGCTTCAATCCCTACCAAAATCAATAGATCAATTTAACACTGAAAACTAAATACATTTTTTTAAAATATGTCATAGAAATCAATTACTAATCTATTAAATATTGTATCTTGTTGACTTATCATTCCAAACTCCCTATTGGTTTGTATTATAATGTTAGTTTTTAAGTTCTCTCCTCTTCTTCTTCTTTTTCATCTTCAGATGATCCACATTGCCTGTCGTATTTATTATCATTTTATGATCATTTATGTTTATGGGAAGAAGGTTCACCGGTACCAGTATTACATGTTGGTTGGGTTGATAAATTAATGGTGAATTTATCACGTTTCACACAACGTGCACGACGTCATCTTAGTTTATCTGTAGCATGTGATAAAGATGAAAATAATAAAAATGATTTTGTACATTCACCGGCATTAACACATTCCACATGTAGATCAAGTCGTTGGACTACAGAATCCATTGATACAACTATAACAACAACTACAACAAGTGAAACAGGATTCATGAATATGCACAGTGCAAAACGTACTCGTCGACATCATCGTTCCGGTCAATTGGATACTACTACTACTACTACTACATCATTGAATATATCTACACCGATTGTCAATAAAACAACGAACAATGATCTTCTTCTCAAGATCAATAATGATGAAGATAATGATGATGTAAATATTAAACTTGAACAAATCAATGATATTGATATTGAACAGAATCATATTCAATCACCATCTTCTACAATCACTACTAATCATGAGATAACATGTGATGAATTGGCGTCAACCACCATTACAAAAGTATCAAATGAGAAAAATGATATGTTGCAAACTGATTTATTAGGTAAATTATTGTTACATAACACTGAATTACATATGTTTTGTTTTATTGTTAACATTTTAATTGGGTAAAAAAAGAGCATTTGTTTAATCTAAAAAAACCAACGTTGTGTTCATAATAAATAACCTCCGCAGTATAATGAATGATCAATGGAAAGATCATCAAATACGAGGAGGCGGAGGAGGAGGAGGAGGAGACAGAGTCCTACTATCAGGAAAAGACTTTTCACTGCAAAGGTTCTGTCGAGAATGGAAAGAGTTCACTCTCTCCAAATGGTCATTGTCAGGGAAGTTTTACTCGACTTCCTTCTCATGACGAAGGTGTGTGGTTTATGATATTGAGAGGACTAAAATCGAATGTCCGGTCAAAGATTAAATCGAGTTGATGGATACAGAGGATCTCTCTTTAGGAGAACTGGAAAATCCTGATTCCAAATCACTGGTCCATATGGCCTTCAAGATGTTGAGAGAAGAAATGGCATATTAAGACCTATTTTTGGTCACCGGCTACTATGGGATTAGATCTATTGGAATTGCTCCACTACCTTATGAATTAGACTGTAGATCAAAGGCCTCAGAGAGTGAAATCCACTTGCCTTAATCAAGACACTTCGACTGTATTCTAGCCTACACACATAAACCCATTAATTGTTGTGGCGCACAAATATTTAGATGCCCCTTTGTACCATGTGTTACCAATGTTCAACCGCCGACTGCCTCGTCGCGCTATGTTTTGTGGTGTAGGAATAGGCTGGAAGAAAGCTAGGGGCCACCAGCTTGTACCACAGATATAAAGTTTTTGTGTTAGGGTTGATAACTGTATGGTTATGTGAACGTTAACATTGCGATATAGGTAGGTAGACCTAACCACCCAACGAGCCACTTATAAAATGAAATGTGCGTTCTGAATTCCACTATTATCCACTGTCCAACTTTACTAAAAATGATAAATTTATGTTTTACTGAACATTTTAATGTATATTATTTATACACTCAATAATCTGTAGGAAAAATGTTTTTTTAATTTTCTGTACTGCTTATCGAGTCGGTGAAGAATACGTTAGCTTAGTTTTTTTGTCAAATGGAAGGCGTTGTTTGTCTTTTAACCATTGAGTGAGTAATCACAGTTTCAAGCCCCATCCTACTGACTTCAGTTGAGGCAGCTGGCACATATCATCAGCTCTTACAGTTTGAGTTGTGTCTGTATACCCAACTGCTGAATATTTTGCTAACTGCCTTTTTTTCCTTTTTATTATATTTGAACCTGTCCTAATCATGCTTGCTATACAAGCATTGCTCGTACATCCTGGGACACCCGAGTGAGCAACGCTGTTATTAGGAATCGGGTGCTAGGTAAGAATGGCAGATCAATAGATGAAGTAATGAAACTTCATCAGTTGAGGTAGTTGGGACATGTGTTACGTATGCCTAACCACCGACTGCCTCGACGAGGTTTGTTTTGTGGTGTAGGAATAGGTTGGAAGAAAGTTAGGAGCGACCAAACCAAGACATGGCAGAAATCCATCAAATCATTGACAAGTGGACTGAGTCATGTTGATAGTTGTCGACTATCTGGTTGAGGTCCGCGTGATGATAATAATCGATGGTTAGAGACCTTGAATGACGTGGCTCAAAATCGTTCGCAATGGCGCCGATGTATTTATTCTTTCTGTTCTCTCAAATCTTAATCTTCTGGATTCTTCAACACCTCTAGTTTTGTCTTTCTAAACTTTTCTCACTGAATCATACTTCTTGAATAATATCTTCTAATCCTAACCTTTCCGATTACTTCTAATACCCTTACTAACTCTTCTACTATTGGATTTGAATTGACAATTATATCTCTGTGCTGATGTGGTATGGTGACATGAACTGATGTACTTACGTACGAAGTTCTACGTTGCATCTGACTAACTGACTGACTCTGAATCATTTATATTATTCCCTTTGTTCAATGGTTAAATGTTATATGTCTTTGTTTATTTGCTTGCTTGTTTCATGTTTAGTCGAATCAAATCAAGATTGTAAACCGTCGTATCCAATAAAATCTTGTCAAACTTCAATCACAGTGGAAATAATACCTGAAGAATTATCATCCAATACAAGAATATCAATGGAAGAATCTTATTCACCGAATCATACAAAATCTACTCCGCCTCCTCCTCCTCCTGCTCCTCCAACTCCATCAACATTATCTACGCATACCAATACACTATTTGATGATATTCTTCAATCGGATTCAATGGATCCAACAGTATTATTGGATACAGAAGAACAAGATGGTTCACCATCACCTCTGATGGATTTCCCTAATCATGATGATTTACTTGCAAGTCTAGTCGAGGCATGTGATCATCGTCTATTGAATCCAGCATTTCTATGGGGTATGGAACCACATTCACCATTTCTACCAGCAAATATTGCTCCAGAAGAAGCATTGAATCGGTTAATGATAGTATTAGAAGAGAATAAATCTACCAGTACTACTACTAATACTACTACTAATGCCACTGTACTACAACAGCACAATTCAAATGATGACACATGTACTGAAACTATGATTCATCATCATCCTCATCATCAGCAGCAGCAACAGCATATATTTCCAACACCTCCAAATTCAGGCAGTTTCACTGGATCACTCGAAAATATTGTACATGAAGAATCAACTCCTCCTCCTCCTCCTCCTCCTCCTACTACTACTACTGTATTATCATCTCATACAACTGTGTGTTGTAGATCACCACCTTCTCAAGCTGCTGATGCTGCTGCCGTAACAACAACGCATGAAATAGACAAGGTAACACAACCGCCGCCGCCAACAGCAACAACAATCATGACAACAGAATCAGATAGTCAACAACAACACTCAAAAATCAATGTTCTACTGTCAACAACAGAAGAGCATACATTATTTTCGAATCATTTCGACATGGTCGATGATGTTTGTAACAATAGTCATGATAATAATAATGCTGTTGTTTCTTCGGATGATTTCGATTTGTTAGCTAATATTCCTAATGAATTAATGGATTCTGTTGCCAGTCTTGTGGTGGGCACTGATCATCATCATCATCAGCAGCAGCCACAGCAACACCAGCAACAACAACAACAAATTGATCATCAAATCAATTCACCTACTACTACTTCAACAGATTTTTTCAATTTATTCTTAGAATCAGAAAATAGTTTTGATAAAACATTATGTAATCATCATCCTGATCATCATCGTGGTGATGATGACGATGATGATGATGACAGTAGTAGTAATAATAATAACGATGATGATATAATTACTCAATTATCTACAAATTATCGTCCAATGAAAACAATGCAAGAATTAACTGTACATTTATCATTGTATTCAGTGAAAATGGCTTCAATTATTGAATTGTTACGTGCACCACGATTGAATTCTTCAGCAATTAAACTAGCTTTAACAGCACAAAGTCAAGTATGTGTACGTCGATCGACAAGTAGTAGTGTACATTCGAATTATTTTTAATTGAACCTTGAACGGACAGTTGGACGGATGTATGTTATGTTATGTTTTATGTATAGTTTGAATCATTGAACATCATTGTGTATGATATTGTTTATGTAGTATGTACAGTGTTCGTTTATTCATCTTTGTTTTCTCTCTCCTTGTAATTTATTTCTGTTTCAAATTGTACACACACACACAGCCTTGTTGGTTGTGTGTGTGTGTGTGTTTTTTTTTCTCAAACTCCTTAATGTGTGTCATCAAGAAACTAGATTGTTTGTAATACCTCTTTGTTAATTTGATCAAGTTAGACATGAACACTGTTAGATACCGGCTCAGTGGTTCGAATCCTGCGGGATGCAGGAGTTGTGGATGCGCACTGCTGAGGAGTCCCATATCAGGACGAAACGGCCGTCCAGTGCTTCCAGGTTTCTAATGGTGGTCTAACATTGATCGATTGATGGTTTCAAAAATGAATAATCATTATGTTCATAATCCACTCATTATCAGATCAAATCTACCAAAATAGATAGATAGATAGATATTGTTCTCGTTTTTGTCAATTTTGCATTATGCTTCTTCTTCTCCTCCTTTCTTTCTGTTGTTACTTATTGTTTGTACATAATTTCACAAGAGACAACTCTGTGTGTGTGTCTGTGTGTTCTTATAGTAGTAGTTGTTATATTACGACGCTTCAACTAGAAATATCATTGTATTATTGTTCAACTGATGATTACCTAATTCTTTTTTTTACTCTCATCAAAAACAAATACCTCCGACAAGCTTTTTTTCGTGTGTTGGTTGACATGGCAATAATAATTGCCTTTTGTGAAAATCAGTTTTTTTTTCCCTCCCCCCCCCCCACCATAGATTATTATTATTATTAACAATTGTACTAATTGTTGTTGTATTATACGTCTTTTTTTATATTCTTCTCTCTCGTTCTCTTTTCAATCATTGAATTATACCATTCATTGTCTCGATAATTAATACACATGTACACACACACACATATATAGGATTCTTAATTAGTCAAATTATTTTTTACAAATTATTAACCCCACCTAACTATTTATATATACATGTATACATATATACATATTTTTGTTTTAATTTCAATCTTTAAAAAAAAGAGCGCTTTTCAAACTATTTTTTTTTCTTTTCTATTGTTTTTTTTGTATAATCGACTAGTTTTGTGTATTATCGTTGTTATTGTTGTTGTTGTACAGTCAGTGAGTAGTGAATCAGTCAGTCAATCAATCAATCTACTTATTTTTCTATGATTCTATTTTTACTTTTTGATATAGACAGATTGTACATGTGTTTATTTGTTGTGTGTCTGTGCGTGTGTGTTTGTGTTGGACACATTGAAACACAACGAAAACATGTGCATATTTTTCTATACACTCAAATGTTATGTTTTCTGTGTTGTGTGTGTTTGTGTGCGTACGTACGTACGTTTTTCTTGTTTTTTGTAAAGTCAATCAGTCGATTTGTGAACGAACCGTTATTGTTTTTTTACCTCTCTCTCGACTTCACCAACACCAACAACAACCACCGGTTATAAAAATTCTTTGTTTTTTTCCGTTGTTCTTTTGAAATCTTAACTCTCTGTAAACATGCGTGTTTATATTTTTGGTAGCCTCTCAGATTTTACAATTTTTATCGAATATTCATTCTGTTTGTATTTCACATTTGTCTTTGAATAACTATAATTAAAGAGTAGTAGTTTATTTTATTTGTTTATTCTAAAAAGAAAAAAATCGTAATCCGGTGAATTAATTCTTTTGTGTGTGTATGTGTGTGCGTGTTTGTCTACACACACACACACACCTACCTACACACCATTGTCTATGTAAGTTGTTGTCTGTAAAAAGAATTGAGATTACAATATATTATAATGAAAATAATTTTCAATTTTTTTCTGTTATTGTTACCTGTTCGAGGACTCTTTTTCCATGTTCAATCAGGTTACATGAAAAAGTCAAAAAAACAACGAAATTAAGTCAGACTTATTATCATATGCCTGTCTCATTTCGAGAATTAAATCACACAATTGAATCAGTAATGTTCACCTCGATTATTAGCTGACCTTGAACTGATATACTTTTGACCTTTGTTGAGCATGTTTTGTCTTTTTTGTTTTGAAAAGTATGTTGTGAGTCATGTGGTGTAATGCGTTTGTAACTCTAGCACGTCAGTCTAAGGTGAGGAAATGAAAAGTGACTCCTGAGATAAGTGATGAAATGATCTGCACGTTCGACTACTTTACTGCCTATCACTAGTTTAAGTGCTGAAGCAACATTTTGCATTTTGACGAGGAAAACCGCATCCCGATCATGATTGCATTGTTGCTTAAGGTGGTCAGAAGACTGCATGTTTCCAGTGTCCTCACTAAGTAGAACTTTTTCACCGGGATTATTCTAAGTCATCAAGTGTGTCTCTTGGTAAAAGGTCCACCCCTGAAAAGACAAACGAAGATAATTTTTACCTCTAAAGGCATATCGACTAGAAAGTTAAAATAGAATGAAAACAGTGGACATCCCTGACGGACAGCACTTGAAGTAATCAATTCCGATAGCAGTTCGCCATGAGCTCTCACTCGACCTGTAGTGTTCGAGTAGAGGGCTTGTAATAGGTTAATGTACTTCTTAGGTATACCTTTTCTTCAGCCACTCTTCGGTTGCCCACGATCTCCAGTCATCCTGAATGGCAAATCGATTTAAGTCCTCCCAGTTTACATGAAGTTGAGAAAGCTATAGGAAATCTATGGAGAGGTAGAGCGGCAGGTCCCGATAGGCTTACCCCTGAGATGTTTAAGGATGGTGGTCCAGTTTTAACGGTTAAACTGACCGAGATCCTAGGTAGAATCTGGGAACTGGACGTAATCCCATCTGACTGGTCTCAGTCGCTAATTGTCCCAATCTACAAGAAAGGACAGAAGTCCTCTTGTGACAATCACAGGGGAATAAGTTTAACTAATATAGTTTCTAAATTGTTAGCCTCGATTATACTTAGACGTCTAACTAGAGCTCGCGAAGAGCAGACTCGAGAAAACCAGTCTGGCTTTCGACCTGGACGTGGTTGTATAGACCACATCTTCACACTACGACAGGTCCTGGAACACAGACACACATTTAGACGTCCGACAATAGTCGTGTTCCTGGACCTTAAGGCGGCATTCGACTCAGTGGATCGTGAGGTTCTGTGGCAGTGTCTGTCGTTGAAAGGTGTACCAAAGAAGTACATTAACCTTATACAAGCTCTCTACTCGAACACCACTGGTCGGGTGAGAGCATATGGCGAACTGTCATCTGAATTCTCTACATCAAGTGGTGTCCGTCAGGGCTGCCCACTCTCTCCATTCTTGTTCAACTTTGTCGTAGACATCCTCTTAGAGTTAACATTAAGCTCGTCAGATTTTTCAGGGGTTGACCTTCTACCAGGAAAGTCGCTTACTGATCTAGAATATGCCGATGACATAGTTCTATTCGGTGAAGACGCTGACAAAATGCAGAGTCTTCTGACTACCCTAAGCAACAATGCGAGCATGTTCGGGATGCGGTTTTCCCCCTCGAAATGCAAAATGTTGCTTCAAGACTGGGTTGCATTGGCACCTGAACTAGTGATAGGGAGTGAAGTAGTCGAGCGTGTTGATCACTTCACTTATCTGGGGAGTCTCATCAGTGCCGATGGTCTGGTGACTGACGAAATCTCAGCTCGGATACAGAAAGCTCGATTGGCTTTTGCCAACCTGCGTCACTTATGGCGTAGGCGTGATATCCGTTCGCTAACCAAAGGGCGGGTGTACTGCGCAGCAGTTCGTTCCGTTCTCTTATATGGCTGTGAAACATGGCCGTTAAGAGTAGAAGATGTTCGTAGGTTACTAGTATTCGATCATAGATGTTTAAGAAGCATTGCTCGTATATCGTGGGACAGCCGAGTAAGCAATGCTGTCGTTAGGAAACGAGTACTAGGTAAGGATGGCAGATCAATAGATGAAGTGGTGAAACTTCATCAGTTGAGGTGGTTGGGACATGTGTTACGTATGCCTAACCACCGACTGCCTCGACGAGCTATGTTTTGTGATGTAGGAGTAGGTTGGAAGAAAGCTAGGGGCGGCCAGACCAAAACATGGCAGAAATCCATGAAGTCCCTGACAAGTGGACTGAGTCATGTTGGTAGATGTAGACTACCTGGTTGGGGTCCGCGAGACGAAAGTCATCAATGGTTAGAGACCTTAAACGACATGGCTCAAAATCGTTTGCAATGGCGCAGGTGCATCCACTCTTTGAGCTCTCTCAAATCCTAATCTTCTGGATTAGCCAGCACCTCTACCTTTGTCTTTCTAACCTTATCTCACTGAATTATATTTTTTTGAATAATATCTTAAACCCTAGTCTTCTTTATTGTAACATTAATACCTCTACTATCTTTATCACCATGGGATTTGATTTGACATTTGCGTCTCTGTGCTAATAATGTGGTATGGCAACATGAACTTATGTACATACGTACGAAGTTCTACGTTGCAACTGACTGACTGACTAGGTATACCTTTTAGTGACGGACACTGCCATAGAACCTCACGATCGACAAAGTCGAGTGCCGTTTTAAGGTCAACGAATACAACTGTAGTGGAACGTCGAAGTGTGTGTTCCAGGATATAACGTAGTGTGAACACGTGGTCTATGCATCCACGTCCAGGCCTGAGACCAGCCTAGTTTTCTCTAGTCTGCTCTTCACGAGCTCTGGTTAGTCGTCGTAGTATTATCGAGGCTAACATTTTAGAAACTATATTAGCTAAACTGATTCCTCTGTAATTGTCACAAGAGGACTTTTTTCTTTCTTATAGACTAGGACAGTCAGTGACTGAGACCGGTCAGCTGGAATTATACCCAGATTCTACCTAAGATCTCAGTCAATCTAACTGTCAAGATTGAACCACCTTCCCTATCAAAATCTCTGTATTTTAATCTCATCTCTATTTACACTACTCATCCTTGACAAAAATATGTTACGTCTAATCGACATAGTTGATGTTTTTTTTATTCTGGTACACTGACTTCTTAACCGCATCATAGTCCATGAGATTCAGCAACCGAAATCTCGGGGAGGAGTTACAAAAACATCTATTTTGGAAGTTAGTTAATTTATATAAAACCAAAGTATTTATGGGGTTTACACTTCTAACCTTGAGGCTTTAGTAACTCCTCTTGGAGCCGTTATAGGTTTACTGCCGATCCCAAGCCCGGATGAATGAGGAGGGTTGGGCATGGTGTTAACGACCCGATCCTATAAAAAGCCAACACGCCTAAAAAAAAAGCTAACTAGAAAAATGCC